GCGATATTTAGCCTTAGCAATCTAAATGAAAGTCGTAGAATACGTTAAACCATGAGCGTTCATAAAAAGAACGCCCAAATCTGACTTCGTATGAGGAAGTTATGATTTTTCGAAGTTTCGACTTAGCGGTATGCAGCCCGAATGCTCGATTTCAGACCGAGCGGTTTTTAGCCGAAACAATCTAAATGAGAATTGAAGATCTCATTAATTGTAGTAAAACGATAAAAAGATAGGCGAAAACGGACGTCGGATGAAGAAGTTATGATTTTATAACGAAGTTTTCCTGTCCCGGCCTACTAAAAATAAATAATAAAAATAAAGTCAAAATTAGCCGACGGAGTCTAAACGAAAGTTGTAGATCGTAGTCTCACCTACGTGGGGATATAAAGATCGTCGAAAACGGAGTTCGTATGAAGAAGATATGAATTTTTGAAGTTTATTTAATAAATTCGATATTTAATTTAAATAAAAATTGGCTGATATTATCCATGGGGGGAGTCACCGGCCTTATCCCCGTTACGCCCCGCGTACATAAATTACGCCCCGCGTAAATCGCAGATCCAGCCCCTATAAAATGCTTGCGAGGGCAGCCGAAAGTTTTGTTCATTTCTTCTCTTCTCTCTCCCGTTTTGCATCGTTTTGCGTGCCAGAAATACCCCGAAGTCCCGGTAATATTCCCGAGTCCCGAAGCGAGTCCCGAGATCCCGAAGATCCCAAGAAGTGCGATTCCCGAGCCGAAGCTCTGCCCGCGAGGAGTCCGGTTTTTGTGAAGATCTTCCAGATCTGCCGAAGAATACTACTTCTACAAGTCGTAGTGTTGTCCGATCATCTTCTAATCAAGTGAGTGTGTGGTTACTTTCTTCTAACGCATAATTATCAAGTATTTAATATAAAATACGTGTTATGTGTATATTTTTTTGTTATATTCGTGAATGTATATTCACTTTCTTCTATCTCATAGATCTGATTTATTCTCTATGAAATACGTGTTATGTGGGTATACCTCATCCGTTATTTGGAATAGGTATTGAATGAGAATGCTATACATGTTTTAAACTATGTATAAAAATATATATTTATATCTACAAATATGTTGGGTAGAACATGGGTAGATGAGATAGTTGGTGTGTGATAAAAGGATGAGTTGGGTAATGAGATCAAGAGGCTAGTTTTAGATTCGGGAGTATGGATTAGACCAAGAGGTAAATTTTAGATCCGGGAGTATGGATTAGGTAAAGAGATAAAACTTGTTATTAGTCCGGGCGTATGGATTAAGACTAAGTTAATTGTCCCTAGTCCGGGAGTATGGATTAGGTACAGTTATTGATCCGGGAGTATGGATCAGATCAGGATTAAGGTATAGTTAATTGTCCCTAGTCCGGGAGTATGGATTGGGCACAGTTATTGATCTGGGAGTATGGATCATATCAGGTTAAGGTATAGTTAAATATCCTTATTCCGGGAGTATGGATTGGGTACAATTATTGATTTGGGAGTATGGATCAGATCAGGATGTTAGTTTTAGATCCGTGGGTATGGATAAGGGGAAAAGGTTAGTTTTAGATCCGTGAGTATGGATGAGGTGAAAAGGTTAGTTTTAGATCCGTGAGTATGGATCGGGTGAAGACAATAGTTTTAGATCCGTGAGTAGGGATCGGGTAAAGAGGAAAATTTTAGATACGAGAGTTTAGATCATGTCGTTGTGAGGATCGATGGGGGTGGGATAAGAGTTGCCTTTATATGGTGAAATTGTACAAGTTTGAATGTTCCATATTTATAAATATATGATATAACATTGTGGGATGAAAACCCTATATGCTCACCAGGCTCCCAAGCCTGACCCACTCAGTTTTCTTTGTATCACAGGTATTAATACGAAGACATATTTCACAGAGAGATTTAAAGGAGATATAAATCAATTGTGTAATTAAATGTAAGTTCTGTTTATGCTTATATGTCTGTATCAGAACATGACATCCCGAGGTTTTATTATTAAATGAAAATACATTCTCTTCGACAAATGTTTTGATAAGTTATTATCATATCTTGTTTTGGGAACAAATTCCGCAACCGTTTTCTTTAAAAGATTACTCTAATTTTATAAAACAAAGCATAAACAAATCGGTCTTTTCTGGCCGAGAAATTGGGGATGTCACACTATATCTAGAGTATGGGGCCTTAGTTCTTCTTGAAAACGTCTGAATGAGAGAGTGGATTGAGGAAACTCGACGAGTTGGTGAGCCAACTCGATGAGTTGGTTAGGGTTTTCCCCGATGGTCTGGAAGCATTGCAAACTCGGCGAGTTGAATTGGATTTTCTAGATTTTTAAGAGAAACGAAGGAACTCGATGATTCGCATAGATGCACTCGACGAGTTGGGTCAACATGGACTATTGGCTTGAGTGTTGACTTATGTTGCCTTTTAGAGTTTGGTCAAGCTATGAGTTATGGAGACCATGGAGAGGTAAAATGGTCTTTCACCATTTCTGGGAGTTAGAAAAGGGGTTAGCTTAACATCTTTGGAAGCTATTGTTATAAAATTTTAATTAGAGATGATTATGATATGTAGGCGGAGTCTAGACCAATCGTTGATTATGAGACCTACTTGCTTACTTACGAGGTGATTCTTCTCACTATACTTACCTGAGTGGTAATCATTGTGCGACCGGAGGGTCTTATGTGCTTCTACTGATTCATGTGATATATTATGCATTCTGTCTTTGTGATTTATGTTGTATATTATTTTGTGCCTTATTTAGTTATTATGTCTTTGTGGGACCAAAGGGTCTTCACTAAGATATAGGACCGGAGGGTCCAACCCGAGCTGCGAGACCGGAGGGTCTTCACTGTAACACATGACCAGATGGTCCTTATCGATATATAGCCATGGAGGCTAATTATTTGTGTGAGGTATTTTGGGGGACTTACTAAGCTTCGTGCTTACAATGTTGTGTGAAATGTGTTTCACGTACCTCTCAGGATCGTTGGAAGGCGCCGACATGATTGTACACGCTAGCTAGAGATTATGTTTTGAGGATTCTAGGATATTGTCAAACATTTTGTTGTCTTGTGTTTTGTACAACTTATAAATGTTATTTTGAGAAATTTGAAATTGTGTTTTGTGTGAGGTTTCAAAAATGGAAGTTTTATTTGAAAATTTAGAGTGTTACACAAAAACGCAGGGTTGTGCGACGTTAGACTGTTGGATCATAAATATTGAACATACCTTAAATAATACGACAATTTCATATATATATATATATATATATATATATATATATATATATATATATATATATATATATATATATATATATATATATATATATATGGAAAAGTAAATATACCTTTAAGGGTATATAAGCTTAGGTACCCAAATTCATCATACCACGTCGTTTTGTATCATATAATACAATCTAATTGTCTAATTTTCTTATAATTTAACTTCTATCTTGATTTACTTCAGAGATTTTTATAAATTACACATTTATCTTACTCTTACATAATTTTTATTTTCAACTACAATATATATATATATATATATATATATATATATATATATATATATATATATATATATATATATAGCCGAGTATATGGTCGGCAAAAAGATGTGATGTAAAAGGAGGATAATAATGAAATTTCGAAAATGTTGAAAGTAAATCAAGTTAGGGGTTGAAGTTTAATAACATTATAATGAATATATCAAACAAGGCTACGTATTATGGTGTGTTTGAGTACTAAGTTTATACACCCTTAAGGGTATATTCACTTTTCCCATATATATATATATATATATATATATATATATATATATATATATATATATATATATATATATATATATATCACTTCCATTATGGAATAAATATTACATCAGAATATGTTTTGAAGTACAGGTGTTTGTAATACAAATGGTGCTTTGACATTTAGGCATAACAATAAACGATAACAGACTTCTAGTAGCTCCATCTATCAACCGCTGCTTAGGGAGTGCAATCTTCCATCTATCGGTTTCTTCGGAATACGTGTGGTTTTGAAAACGCCAACATAATTTTTTTGGTTTCACAGGTTTTGATTTTCATATTTTGAAAATAATTTTATATACATAACTTTTTAAGTTGTATAAGTATTTTGATTTACATTGTTAGGGTACCTTTGATTCGAAAAAGAGTACTCTACTATTTATAGGTATTATGACTTTCATAATTCTTTTATCGTTCATCTTATGTACTATTGAAATATTAGGGGGTGTTTGTTTGGCAGGAATGGAATGGAATTTGAGGGAAAAGGATTTCAATTCCCTCAAATTCCTATGTTTGGTTCAGCTACAAGGGAAGGAAAAGGAATGCTAAATAAATTATTTTCCGTTCAAATGAAGGAAAGTCCATTCCTTCACAATCTCAAAGGAATTAATTCCTTCACAACATGGAAAGCACAAGATTACGATTTTGCCCCTGCTAAACATTACAATACCCTTCATCAAACCTAGTTCGTTCATCCCATTCTCAACCGAAATCCCATCTTCGCGTCTTCTCCTCATCGTAAAAAGGATCGGCCAACGACTTTCATTCCAGGTGATCTCTCCCTCTCTCACTCCCTCTCTCTCTATCTCCCTCTCTCTATCGCTCTCTCTGTCTTCACATTTGAAAATGTCTCGACTTAGTTTAACAACACGCAATTGTAGACAAAGGCAAACTTCATTGATTTTAACATGTGGAATGTGGTTTTACACATTGTTGTAGTCATTTTGTTATGACCCTGAAAAGCATTGTGTTACTGTTGAGGATCGGGTCTAGGAGACATACCTATAGGTACATTTTAATAATAAATCGACTACATGGAAATATTTTGCTTTTTGTTTTTTATATGAATTATAATGTTGGTAAATAGGTACATAAAGAAGCGACTAGATGGAAACACAAAACATTTCCTTATTATGAAGATCTTTGCATTATTTTTGGAAATGACCGAGCTCAAGAGAATAGAGCTAGAGATTTCATGGAGATGGAACAAGAGGTGAACTTAGAAGAAGAAACGCAAGATTCAGATGATGATTTTCTTGATTCAGAGGAAGTTAGTCGTACTACAGCTGTGCAACATGATGAAACTTCACCGAGTGTTCGTTCCAAGAAGAGGAAAAATCGAAGCGACGAGGGGTTTTACAAGGTGTTTGGCTTAATTACAGAAAGTCTTAAAGAAATATCAAAGGACTTGAGTGAAGGTATTAAATTTGACATGAAGATTAACGAGTTAAGTGAGAAGATCCCTCCAACGATTTTAAAGATGAATTCAATAAGTCAACTTGAAAAGTTCAAAGCTTTGACCAAGATAAGAAGTGATCCCATTAATGTTCAAATTTTTTGGGAAATTGAAGAAGGTGATAGAGAAGCTTCGGTAAAATAAAATTTGGAAGGATAGTGTTACCAATTGGGATGTGCATTGGAAGTTGATCGATATTTTGCATATGAAAGTTTTTGGTGCCTTCGATTTGGATGTAACAAAATAATTTACGTTAACTTTATTTTTGGTAACAATATTAGGATATCTAGTGAAGAAGATGATTGCTTTTAAGTTATGTTTTTTTGGTAACATTACTGGGACGTGTATTTAAAGAATTTTATTTAGTTATGAAGTCGTTTGCATGATATTTACATTATATTGACACAAACACTCAATCAATTAAATTAAATTTATTATTTTTATAATTTATGTAATGTATTTTTACATATAAATTAAAAAAGATTGTAAAATTAAGCAATATAGACAAAAAGGGCAATTCTGTCATTTTATATGGATTCCGATTCCAATTCCTACGTACCAAACAAAATCTGGAATTAATTCTAATTCCATTTCCTGCCAACCAAACAGGACATGGAATTGGATTCAGATTCCTGACAGATTCATTTTCCAATTCCAAATGTAATTCCTTCAGTAACATTCTGCGAACCAAATAGACCCTTAGTGTATTCTTATCTTAGGAGTATACTTGTGGAAAGGAGTACTCATATCTTAAGAGTAGGCTGACTAAGAGTAAACTTTCATACTCAATGTGGGTTAATCGGATATCGTCTAATCTTAACCTATATAATTGTTTACTTAAGACATGAATAGCAAGGTTACAATGAATTCCTATAATCGAGCTTCTGACTAGTGATTTTCCCCATACGACGCTTCACTGTACATTGTATAAGTTTAGACAGTTATGCCTGCCAGGATTGTAGCTAGCAACTGCAGGTGGGGGTGTCAACCTCGTATAAATATATGCATAATTCTCCAACTCGTTTAAGATTAACGATTATATATCGGGGTCTTAGCTAAAAACTAATTAGCTAAGATGAGTGATCGTCACATTTAACTAGTTGTGTGACTAGTCTTAACGTAAAAAGAGTTATAATGTTTCATTGTATAATTATAATTAATTTATAATTATAGTAAATAGATACATGTAGCAAAGTCAAACTGACAGATTGCAGATGATTTAATATATGGCCATTATCCGAGTCGAATGACGGCATAATATACTACAATTATCCATTTGAATTGGACGGAGTCACGACATAATATACTATAATTATCCGTTTAAATCGAGCAGAGTGACGACATAATATACTACAATTATTTGTTTGAATTGAGCGGAGTGACGACATTGTATATTATCTATGAAATTTTAGGCAGAGTAACGATAGGGAATGATATTATTCCTTAAGAGTTTGAGAGTATCCAGCAGGCATAATATTATTTCTAAATATTTGGCAGAATAGCGACTAGGTACAATATTATCTATAAATTTTTATAAGAGTAACGACAAAATATAATATCTACTATTTTATTTGGGCAGAGTAGCAATATAATATATATTGTGTAAAAATAATATTTATAACAATAATGATATATATAATTTTTAACATGTATTCCCCCCTAATTTTGATAAAAGTTAGAAAATTGGGTCGTGAAACTCATCCTCGTAGCATGCTTTAAACGATATTTTCTACTTTCCGCAAAGTGGTCAAGGGATCGGGACTGTTTGGGTTGAGGGAAAAGTAATAACTAAAATATATAAATAGTTTTTTAATTTTTTAGAAGAAAATTTCGAAGGGGAGAGAGAGAGAGAGAGAGAGAGAGAGAGAGAGAGAGATTCATTTTGAGTGTGCCAAACTATTGAGCTCTATTATAGGTTAAAAAATGCATAGTTGCGCCGTGTTCTTCAAGATGCGCCACGTCCTTGTGGTGTGGCTCTATTCGTTGTGTGACACATGTACAAAGGTCGATGGTGCCACATCCGTCCCCCTAGAAGGCATGCACTACGTGCACGCACGTGTGTGTGCTGAAAAATGCAGATTTAGAAAAATTCATAACTTCTTCATACGAGCTCCGTTTCGAAGTTCTTTATATTCACACATATCTATCGTTGAGTACTACAACTTTTCTATAGGTTGCATTGACTAATTTTGACTTTACGTTTAGCGCTTATTTTTATAATCATAAATGATTTTGCAAAAGTCACATCTCTCTCGTACGGACTCTATTTTTGGCATTCTTTGTCTCATCGATCTTGTATCGAGGAGTACTTTGATTCTCATTTACAGAGTTTTGGCTAAAACTCAACCGATTTTCTTTTAACTTTTTAAGTCACACATTAATTATGTGCGGTTGATTTTTATATTTTAGAAAATTCATATCTCCTTCGTATGAAGTCAATTTTTTTTTATGAAATTTATGTTTCCTGGATCGGGACGTCATGCACTTTCGAAAGATGTTATTATTTCTTAAAAATAACATAATTTTTCGTGCACTTATTTTTATATATTTCAATCGGTTCGACTAATTTTTCTTATATATCTTTACATGAAATCTTTCATTTTTATCTTAGATTGATAAATAGGACGTATTAAATCTATTATACATGACGTTTGTCACTTTCAACGATTAAAGATCGATGGGAATTTTTGTGATTGTTACATTCTAGCTCGAGTAAAGAATTCAAACACAAAAGATAAGAAATCATTCTTCAATAACTCTTAATATCTTTTAATGGAATAAAAATTAAATTCATCTGGACTAGGTGCTTTATCACTACTGGAAGCACATGATATGTACTAGAATCAAGGTGAGTCGTAAGGATTCTAAAAAAATGGTAGTTGGGAAATAGTGTGGGTTAACACTATGAGTTTATTTTGATTTGTATCCATTTTTACATGCATTATAGTGTTGGCGCGATAGGGAGAGAGTGGTTATGGTTCTAGTTCTGGCCCACGTGGCCACAGTGGATCAGGTGTGGTTGATGAAAGCCTACATGTTCTGGTGGATTCTGAGGTCTCGAGGGCCTTATTTGAGGTGGTACCAACATTGGTTACAAATTTGAAGGATGAGATGATTAAGATGATCGACGATAGGAATGTAGCCACTATAAGGGTTAGACAACCAGGAGTCGGTGACATCACTTGCCATGATATGGTAATGTATCATCTCCCATTTCTAAAAGGAGGAAGTATCAGGTTCTTAGTATGCAATGGATAGAGGAGATGAAATGTGCCTTCTGCACCAGTTTTTCCCCCAGGAGGCAAAAGTCTGGTTCTCTTTGAACCTGCTGTGTCATGCATCGAGGGATGTTTAGGATTTGATCGCCAAATATATTACTATGGCCAAGGTAGAGACCATGTCATGGGAAGAGTTCATGACTTAATTTAGGGATGATCAAGTATCTTCAATGATGGGCGAGCGTATGTTTCCAGAGTTTAGGATGGAGAACCAACAAAGGACGGAGGGGTAAGTGCAGGTTCTAACGTCATTGACAGCTAAGGGGTTCAAGACTATTAGTACTCGTTTAGGTGATATAGGTAGTAATCTTTCTTTAGGAAAGTGTATAAAAGCACATAAGGGAACTTGTTGGGTGGTCGTACCTAGGTGTTTCTGTTATGGGCAAGAGGGTCATTTCAGTCAGGACTGCAAGCAGGATAAGTAAAGAGTATGTTTTCATTGAAACTAATTGGGCAATGTCAAGGCTGGTTTTCAAAGGGGAGTAGGAGAGGTAATATATGTTGGAAATAGGTGTCCATTGTCATAACTAATTGGTATAACGTTGACAATAATACCAAAGTCATTTTAGGGTTGTCCTCAAGAGCTAAAATAGCCAGAAAATGATTTAAGAGAGTGAGATAAATAATTTATTGATTTATCATAGATTGAGAAATTAATTAAAAACTTGTTGAAATTAATTTAGAATCAATTACAGTTAACAAGGATTTATTCGCGTGATCAATTTTAGTTACGTGTTAAGAAGCAGTTTTGTAAGGGTATGAGTCAAGAACCAAATTACCAGATGTCCAACCAATGTAAATCGAAATGGAATCTTGTTAACAAACTTGTGACACATTGGAACATAATTTACACAAACTTCGAAAAACAATGGGCTAGTGGCAAAAGTGAAGTGAGTTTGTTGAAAAAAAAAAACGCATGCGACATTCCAAGAGGACATTTTGGAGCCTTTTAAGTTCATTCATATGTAAGAAGTTGTCAAACGAAACATTAGATGGAAGTAGCTTGCAACACATGAAGACATTGGTAATCCGCCAAAAAGAAGCCGAACATATTCATATTCGAGTTCACAACAAAATATCATCGGATGGTCACATTGACATTGATCTTAGTGATGATAACAACGCCATCGAAGAAATACGACACCTCATCGTCCCACTGGAAGGGATAAAGCAAAAGCTTGAGGGAAAGGAAAAGGAAAAGGAAAAGGAAAAAGAAAAAGAAAAGCGACATCGTCAAATTCTTCAGTCGTAACGGAACGGTCACCTAGATCGGAGAAAATGATGATACAAATGACACAACTAAATACAACTTTTGAGAAGCATATGTCTGAAACCGTTCGACTCATAGAATTTTGCGTTGTTGATGCAAGATGTGAAACACCTCGACTCTAAAGATCAGAAGACAGCTAAAGTGGTGAAGACATCGATTCCTGAAAAATATAAGCTTAAACGCAATTAAAATTTGGATGTTATGTTTTTTTTCTGTGTTCTTAATTTTTCACTTCATTTTTTTAGGTTTTTAATGTAATTTTTAATTTCTTGTACTTTTTTAGGATTTCTAAAATGTAATTTTTAATTTTATGTTATTTTAAATTTTAGAATGTTTTTTAAAAAAAAAAAAAAAAAAAAAAAACTGAAGTTTAAAAAAAAAAGTTTATAGGTATAACAATAACCAAACCATAGTTCGTAGTTAAAATTTATCTACTATAATAGATGACGGTTTTTTTGCTACATTTCACACTGTCATTCAATTTGTCAAATGTCATTTTGTGGTTATTTTGAATTAATTTTTATTCCACATGTCATTTTCTTTTATGGTTTTTCTATTTTATTAATTCAACATAGTATTTAAATTTAAATACAATAATAAATGCATATTAATTTTCTTAATGGACTTTCCTTTTAATTTTAATATTACTAAATTAAAGCTTCATTAATTTCTTTTATTTATTTATCTAATTATTTGTTTAAATTTAGAGAAAAAAACACTTTAATTTTTATGATTCAATTTTTTTTTCTTATAAATTCAAACTTTTCAAATATTTAGAATTTTATATTCAGTTTTTTTCTTTTAAATAAACTCATGTAATAATACATTTGTATTATACCTAGTAAAGAATATAAAAGTTGATAGAATTTGTTTTACTATTGATAAAAAATACACCATATCCTTTAACTTCCTAAGATCTTCCTAGTTATTCACTCAGTCAAAACCATTGTTCACAGCCTTCCAAACTTCCATAAAATGCTTGAAATATTTTTCCTAAATTTTCATGTTTACAATCCGTTTTGTAGGCACCCACCCAACATTCTCTTGAACTCTAACATGAAATCTTTTTCAGCCACACTAACCGTGTCCGATTCTATTGGCATGTATTTGGAACTAATATAAACCGACCACGATATAAGTTACCTTCTTACCACATGTCTCTACTCTCCACCTCATCCCACTTTGATGTCACTTCACTTTTATAAATGACAGAATTTCGTGCATATAGAGGGATCCCCTTTATATACAACCTTATTAATCTTTCAGAAATTATGAAGATGATCATTGGACCAAGAAATCACTTTTGTAAATGAAGACCTTATACCATTAGGCTTACATAATTTAGAATTCGCTCGATCCAATTGAAACACCAACATAACCCAAAGCCATCCAACATATTTGAATTCCAAATCGATAAATCCCTCATTTCTAACAAGTGCATGGAGATTTGAAAACACAAAACATCTTTTACCCTTGCAAGAAGAAGACACAATGGTATATAAATCCCGTGTTACATAATCATATGTTTACAATCTTTTTTTTACCACACACTACATTCATTTTTGGCTTCTCTTTTGGTTGAACACGAGTCCTGGAAATCCAGCCAAATGTCGATTGTTTGGGTTATCTATTGTTCAAATCCTCCATAATAAATAAAAATAATTTTGCCACATGTCATTTTCTCATTAACTTTGACACATGTGATTTTTTAGTATTTTTGAATAAATATTTTTTCATTTTTCATTTTCATATTTTTTTTATATTTTCTTAATTAACACATCATATTTACACCTCAATTAATAATTACCTTTATTGAAAATAACCAATAAATTACAATATCACATCTCATATAATTTAATATGCTTCATTTTAAATTTAAATAAATTTTTATTTAAACTTTCATATATATATATATATATATATATATATATATATATATATATATATATATATATATATATATATATTTTTGTAATTACCGATCCTTAAGAAACATAGATTAGTCCAAATTATCTCCAATGTCAACCTTTATGAAGCGAACACAATCAAATGTTTTTTTTTTTTACTTTTGATCTCCGTTATGCAATAAATACATCCTACAGTGCAATATATGGCACGCGTATTATATTTTGTATTTTAATATTCTTTTTAGTGATTTAGTAATTTACTAGGATGGTGATTCACATTAAATTAGGCATGTCCGCGTAAAAATGTCTTTATTAATTTAAATATTATTTGACAAGTAGTTTTACTTAAATTTTAATACACCAAAATTGAATGAAAAGATTTGTGGATCATATGGAATCAAACCAACACCAAGAGTCCAAGAGTCCACGAGTAGTGGAAGGGAATTTGTGATCCGGATGTTACCATTGCCAAAGGCAGATACACATATGGGAAGACGAAATCTCTGAAGGCCTAAACTACTAAGCAGTTACCAATGAGGGCTATTTTAAGAGGCCTAGACCACATGCTTGAATCAAGTAACCAAGTGTAAGCCCAACAAATGTATTTCCTTAATTCCTCAGTTGGCTTTTTTTTTTTTTTTTTTTTTTTTCAATATTTGTTTTATATCAAATGACACCTTTTGTTTAGTCAAAATGAAGCTTTTGGTAATCCATGTCAAACGACTTTCCTAGTTCAGCACACACAAAAAGAAGATTTAGATAATAGTGAAAGTAAGTTATCTATAAAAAGAGGGATTAATGCAAAAAGAACCAAATATAACATCAATGTTATAAGAATTGTCTATAACTGGAAAGACATGTATCTAACTGGTTGTACAAATGCAAGGTTCCTATTTATAGTATATAGTATGAATACAAGTGAGTTATATCGTTTCAGGATAAAGAGGTAGTTAATTGATCCAAAAGATAATGAATATATATTTCTTGTAATAAAAACACGTCATTTTTGTTTAGTCATGTAATTTTACTTTGCATGTCAGAATGTGACATCTTATATGAAATAGAACCAACAGGCATCCAAAACCAAACCACCATAAATGACAACGAACTTTGACAACTTCCGAAAAAGCAGAAACAGAAAAAGTCAAACATCAAAGTGTAATTAATAGTAACAAACTTTGAGAAACAACATGCATTAGAAAATATTTGATTCTTCTAAAGTATGAACTTTTAAGATTAGCTAACAGAAGGTTCCCTTAAAAACTATAAAATGCTTCACAAAATTCAACTAACTTTGTTCTATTGAATATTGATAGACATCTTCAGTCCTTTCACCCAAAAGATTGATAAAATTGCATGTGCTCGTTTTAAGTAAAGTTGATGGGGAACATCATCATGTATAAACCGTAACAATGTTCTTATCATTAGAAGAACGGAAAGTTCATTACTGTAACGCCTGATTTTTGGTACGTATTTATTTATAAAAGTATTCATTTTTATAGAGCTACTCGACGAGTTGGAAGCCCCAGACTCGTCGAGTAGAATCGAGTATTGGATGTGGGTTTTCAGCTATCTACTCGGCGAGTAGGTCTGCCATAGTGAAACCCTAATTTTAAGGTTTTGCATCCTATTTAAGCATCTTAATCCCCCACCTTTTGGCCTCATTACCATCCTCCAAGTCCTAAACCCTAATCCACGAAATTCTAGAGCATTTTGCGAGTGTGTGTGAGCCATTCTTGAGTGGTTTTGTGTGTTCTTGAAGCTAGAAGAAGAAGAAGGAGCTAGAAGGTTCAAGGAGAAGATAATAGATCGAGGGATTTCCTTCCATCCTCATCACTTTCTGGTAATCAAGTCTCTAACTTGATCATTCATTCATTAGATCTAGTTGCTTCCATTTTTATGAGGGTTTTGGCTTAAGAACCTTGGTCTTTGGGATTTGGACGTCCCAAGTGACTTACATTCCAGTTCTGGGATCTAGAAGGGGTACCATGGCATAATGGTGCAAACTTTATGACCATGGAAGCCCCATGCAAGCTTAAAAATGTCATTATGGCGTTTTTAGCCTTAAAAGGCCATGCATGGAAGGAAAACTAGGAACTTTACATGTCCAAATGATGTTCAAGGCCTATATCTATTATAATATGCTTTGGTTTAGAGTATTATGGCTTGTGGACCAAGATCTATGTTCTAGAGAGTTAGGGTTTGAGCTAAACCCATTAAGAAGGACTAATAGCGGGTAAACTTGGAAACTTTACCCTTAAAAGTGTATTCCTAGTGTGTAGATGAAGTATAGAGTTTGGATTTGAAGGGTAGGAGCTTAATCCATTGAGATGGTTCAATCAGATGCAAGAACTCGGCGAGTCCATAAAGGGACTCGACGAGTTGAGTTGGTTTGTCCCGTTTTAGCTTAAGGTAGATCTCGACGAGTCGATAAATGGACTCGATGAGTTGATTTGGTAGATCGCGACTATTAGTAGCCTAAGAACTCGATGAGTCGCGGGGGGGGGGGGGGGGAGGAGACTCAACAAGTTACATCGCAATTTCAGGTTCTAGGACTCGAAGAGTTGATGGAGCAACTCGATGAGTTGGATCAAACAGAAGGTTGACTTTGACAAGGGGTAAAATGGCCATTTTACCCTAAGGAGAATTATTAGGTTTTGACTAAGTGTTTTTGTGAAATCATTAGTCAGGTAGTTGTTGGAGCAGCCGTCAGAGATTCCTCACACGATATTTCACGTTTAGCATACGAGGTGAGTTCTCTCCTATAGGAATGAGTCTAAGGCACCAAGGTCGGCCCGTTTAGATAGCAGTAGTTCCGGGCTACGGTCCGATGTCGAGCGGGGACCGATGTAGGTTTATATGCTTTTTTGGGTTTCGATCTGATGTTGAGGCGGTCCCAAGGAATGCTTGTATGCTTGATGTCTTTGTGATTCTTGCATGTGTTTGTATTTGTATGTTTTTGGGCTTCGATCCGATATCGGGGCGGTTCCCGATGAATGTTAGTATGCTTCCAGATTTTGGTCTAATGTCGGGTAGGGCCCGAATAATATGTATATGTTGGTGTTAGTTGCTTAT